GGTCAGTTTTCGCGCTGTGGGTCAGCGCGCAAGATCCTGGCTTCTGCTCTCCAGCAATCCTGAAGTTAGAGTTCCTAGAGGGATCCAGGAGGCTTCCCAAGGGGGCGTGGGTGCCTAGTCTCCTCAGCCTCGCTGCTGCAGAATCCAGGGGTGCGTCCTTCTTTTCCGATTCTTGACGTCAAGCCCCGACCGCCGCGAAGCCTCGCCAGGGCGCTGGAGAGCAGAGGGAGGGTGGCGGGGAGGGGAAGCCATTGCAGCAACAGCTTGGAGGAAGGAGCTGGACGTCTCCGCCGAGAAAAACCGGGGGTGGGAGCCAGAGTAGGGGAGGCAGAGGACCTGCTGTCTCTAGGAGCCTCTGGGTTGCTGCAAAGAGGGGCGGGGAGAGGCGGGGGCTCTGCTTGCACCGCGCTGGCTCCAGCGGTGCCCGCGGGGAATGTGACATCAGCGGCGCCGGGCGCTTGCGGCTGGAGGAGGCATCTCGCCTCGGCTGCGCTGTGCACACCTCGCCCCGGGGAAAACGCAGACCCGGGCAGGCGGCAGGGATGTCGGCGAAGGAGAGGCCAAAGGGCAAAGTGATCAAGGACAGCGTGACCCTCCTGCCCTGCTTTTATTTCGTGGAGGTGAGTTGGCCCAGCGCCTTGGCATAATGCAGATCCTCCGGGTGGCTCCGGAGCCAGTTCGGGTCCCGGACGGTGTTGGAGGCGCGGAGCCCGTGCCTGGGTGCGCGCTGCTGCCCCTAAATGCCCCACGCTCCCCCTTCCCCCAGGTTTCTCGGGAGCTCCCCCGAGTGTGTCTGTGAGTGCCCGCTAGCCAGGGGTGATTAACAGTAGCGATGCCACTGCTAGGTGGCCTGCAGACGGGAGATACCTGTGTGAGTGAGTGTGGGGCTAGTTCCCTGGCCCTCCTGGACCGCCTGGGTGCACAGCGTCATCAGTGGCCCAGAGGGGCCATGATACCGATATTTCGGGATTTGTGTCCTCAACCTGCGACTACGTATCTAGAACTCTGTGAGCTTTCTATAGGAATTCAAATACACACAGCCATGCCCGGGGTGTATGGGGGCTGGGGATGTTTACGTAGGATTAGGAATATTGATTTCTTTACTACACAAAAAACAAAACCAAAAGCCCTAACCCTATTAAAATTACTATGGTGCTCACAACAGCTTCTAAAATTGGGTCCACATCTCTAGGCATCAATTGGTTGGCCCTTTTCCATGGTTAACAAAAATCATCTGCATATACACAAATATATGTATATGTATACATATGTATATGTATGTATGTATATTTTTAAAATAAGTGACATCATCTGATTTTACATGATTTGTACGTGTGCATTTATTCTGTGCTGAGCAGTACTACAGATAAGCAGTTAACATGCAGATGTATTCATAAATGAACTGCTAACTTACCAAAATGCAGCATTTAAGAAGGAAAAATTTATGGGAGGGTTATAAAGATTGACAGGTACAGTGATTCCATGCACTGTGGTCCGTTGCATTAGGAAGACATTTTTAAGCAAGAGGTTTATTAAATCATAGGTAGAGAAGAGATGTATTGGATAGGTTTAGTGAAATCATATGGTTTTAAGCATAAAACTATATTCTGTGTAATTAGAGCCTGGATTGCATAGAGAATTATAAGACTGTTGCTGAATTATAAATATCCTTCTTTGGCTGTCTTTTCAGCCAAATATGGAGGTTTAGCACTTCCAAGTACAGATAGTAGATTCTGTATTTGATGATTGTGAGGCTTATCTGTGTTGAGGGATAGTTACTGTCTTGAAACTTGGGAGAAGAGACATTGTCAGATTGTTTTTATAGACAGTAGTATATGTGCAAGTTTCTCTTAGGTCTCGCAAATTTTAAAAATGGTTTCAGTGTTAAGAAAGATGTACGTGATTTGCATAAGTCTCAGAGAAATGATGGGTGACTCCTTCATCCATGACCCATAGAAAAGAAGGAAAAAAATTGACCTGTTTATTTAAAGTAATTAATTGATTCATTTATTTTTGCCCTTCCTCTTTTCACAAGGGATTTTGAGGCCATGGTTTAGATAATTTTGTTGAAAGCTAATGAAGAGTTTTATCGAGAAAAAACATGTGGGCACAGAAGATTCCATGGTGAAAGGGGTAAAGGAATAGAGAGACAGGATCCCTGCCTTGAAGTTAAATCCTGTCAGGCCACTTGTCGCATTGCTAATCCACTGTGGTTTTGTCCAAAAGCACTTTCATTCACGTCTGGATCTATTACATCTGTCTAGGAGACATCAGTTAATTGCTGGCTTCTGCCTCCAGGACGGAGCACCTGAGGTCAGCTAGAAGCTGACCACATTTGGATTGCAGCTGTATGGCTTCGAGGAAAATACTTTCATGAAAGAGGACGCAAACCAGAGAATTAAGGATGTGCCTTAAAAGAATCTATGTGTGCACTTTTGAGGTACCTTTAACAGGAGTACATTATCTTTTAATCTAAAATTTTAAAAGTAAAAATGCCTCATAATGCATTTGAAATGTGTCTGTAGGAACAAACATGTCACAAATGTTAATTCTTTTCCATGAGTGGAAATAGCCCAAAATCATTACCTTCACTTTGACCCATTCAGATACCCTCTACAAATTCCTTAGCAGGGCAAGCTATAGAACAATTACTTGAGGACAGTTCATGGAGTTTCAATGCGCATTTATGACATTATGTCTTGGGGGTAACAGATTTCAAAGGGAGAGCCACAAAAGTGGATTGCAAATGATCTCTCTGAAACTTAAATGCATGATGAACCTCTAAAGAGCCTCCAGAAAATGGGGGAAGACATTAGTACACCAATTATTTAAGGGGTTGACAGAATGCACTACTGAACTCCTTTGGAATGACTCATTTTGAGGCCAGTGAGAATGAGCTTTGTAGCTGCTTTGGAGGATGAATAAATATAGCATGAATTAGCATGTCAGTAAAGTGCTCTAGAGTAATGGCACTTTGCTTCCAACATAGTTTCCCCAGACCTTTGTAATTAAAATGGAAAAGTGAAACATGAGTGAACCTTTCATCACATATCAGCCCAAAGAACATATTTTAAGCCTTTTCTATTACTTCAGACGATAATTTAAGGAACACAAAGAGGCAAAAAGGACCAGAATTTGAGGAGAAAATAGGACCTAAGAATTAAGTTATTAGGTTCCTACCATATACCATACAAAAATAAATTCTGGACAGACCAATGATTTAGATTTTTAAGAAACAGTTAAAAAACTAAATAATAACACAGAAGTATATTTTTAGATTTACAGTGAGAAAGGTCTTTCTTAACATATTACCAAAGTCAGAAATAATACAGGAAAAGACTAACACATCTTTCTACCATCCCAAATAAAGTTTCTCTGTAACAGAAGATGCTCTCAAGAAAGTTTAGAGAAGAAAACAGTCTCTGGGTCTCAAGTCAGTGACACCATGGACAGTTTAAACTTTGCCTTTCTTCAAGCAGTTCAGGCTGTTTCAACTTGCTATTCATGATAGGCATGAAATATGAAGAAACTAACTAGGAAACTGAGGAGCAACTTTCATTCCAACCAGAGGAGGTTAAAATCAAGTTAGACTGAATTAAGGCAGAAAAACCTGGGCCTTACAGACAGATTGACCTGGTTCATATATCACCTATGCCACATACTACTTGGATAATTCTGGCCAAGTTACTTCTCTCATCCTCAGTTTCTACATATGTAATAGAAATTATAAGAAGTAATATAAATATATGTATTCATATACAATAGAAATTATAATAACCATATATCTTAGACTATATTATGAGGTTAAAGCATGAAAGATACCATATATCATACCTGAGCTAGGCACTCAGGATGTATCAGTTTCTTTTGCATGGTGTCAGGGTATAGAGATTATATCCTATATATACAGGCCAAGGTGTTCAGTCACTAAAATCAGGTAATCATGTCCCAGCTGACCACCAAACTCGATATTGAACAAACGTTAAGTTAATGGATAGAACTAATTTTTCTTACATCTTTGGTTTATGCTGCCAATTGTTTATGCTGATAAAGGGGTTTATGGTTGACAGTAATTAAAAATATCAATATTACATGGTGATTTGAAAACACACCATGATTTCCAAGATGGTACCTCACTTTATAAACAAGCTTGACAATTCAGTTTTGCATTGTTCGATGTGGGAAAAGAAAAGTCAAATTATGAAAGGAACTCTCAAACAAGCATATCCAAAGCTTTATCAGGTTAACAGAAAGCAAGTTAAAAGGAACATTCCACGGAAGAAAAGGTTTCTCTTGCCTTTAAAGTTCCAAAGCACTCTCCAAGTGATGGCTGTATCACTTACAGTGCAATTGCACCCGGCAGCACGCCTAGAAATAGTAAAAGGTCTTTCAGCTTACTAACCCAATATTAGACGTGAGAAGGCTGGTCGTCTGCGTGCCTAATGCATTTCCTTTATGACAAGTGTTACAACGGTCCCACCTGTGCTCAGACTCACAATTTCATTCTCATTAGTCATCCTGTTCCAAGATATGGGTTCACATTGACTCAGTATGTAATATAAACAAATGATAAATTACCCTTTAAACCAAAAAGATACAAGTTCTTAATAAATAAATGGGAAAAAGATTCTTCTCATTTAAACATTCTGCTTTATGGCATACATTTTTATTACTAATCTAATGTTTACTTTATGGAGGTAAAAAAGCAGTGTTTGACCTATATGCAAAGTATTTTTATAAAGCTATAGGTGCAGATAGTTTGAAATTTCTTGTTTTTCATACACATACGCACACGCACACACACACACACAGGCATGCGCAAACACAGAGGGAGTAGGAATAGCCTCTCTCCACTGAGTGTAAAATAACTCTACCTGAAGTATTACAGATTCAAAATATTGTAAACATGACAGACTTGAAATTATACAGAAAGTTTTCACTAATTTGAATATTGTACTTAACAATGGATATGTTTCAGGATTTTGTTCATGCAGGTTAATTACTACAGTTTAGGGTCAGTAAACTAGACATTGTGTTCAGGAGTAAAAGCCATCTTTTCTCTGTTACCATCCTGCCTGAAGAAGTTCAAAAAGCCTTTGTTTGAGCAAAGATAACCTGGTTAGTTCAGTCTGAACGTCATGCCTAGACGTTATGGAGTCTTGACAGACCTTAATATGTTTTTTATTTTTTTCCCACTGGAAAGTGTCCACTGTATCTTAATTGTAGCAAACATTAATTCACAAGATTTCTGTTTTAGCTCAAGATCTATGTGAAAATTATATAACTCATATGATCTTGCTGGGAAATATAGCTAGCTGATTTCCTTTTACATAAACTTTAGCATCAGTAGGAAGCACAAAATGACAACATTTCTGCATTGCACGTACCAAAATAGTAGCTGTAGGTTTTTTCCCTTTTCTAGATGGCATAGATAGTCCACTCAAAGAAGTAGTCCACCCACCAACAGAGATGAGCTGAAAAATCTTTCCTCCTCTTTTAGGGTCACGATGTGCAAAGTCCTTTGGTGAAAAACAAAAATGAAGTACAGATGATAATAGAGTCCTAAGTTTCACAGAGACTAAATGAGGACATTTCCACAAATACCGAGACCAAGTATTGAACATAGAACCCGCCGTTAAGGAATTCTATACTATTCCTAGGCTCCCCCACTATCTTACTGTGTCTTCATGGATGAATCACTCATAGTAATCTTTGTCCTACTTTCCTCTAGTAGGAAAAAAATGGGTGCCTTCTACCAATCTCAAAGCGATATTAATAATAATGATAACAAGGAATAGTCAATTTCAAGCCTCCTTTATATGACAGACCCTGTATACATTATCTTTAATCCTGAGAACTGGATTATTTGTATTAAAGTAATATCGAGAAGGCATTATTATCCTTATTTTTTTATTTTTTATTTTTTTTGCGGTACACGGGCCTCTCACTGTTGTGGCCTCTCCCGTTGCGGAGCACAGGCTCCAGACGCGCAGGCTCAGCAGCCATGGCTCACGGGCCCAGCCGCTCCGCGGAATGTGGGATCTTCCCAGACTGAGGCACGAACCCGTGTCCCCTGCATCGGCAGGCGGACTCTCAACCACTGTGCCACAAGGGAAGCCCTATCCTTCTTTCTTTAAATCAGCAAATTGTAACTCAAAGAGCTAAACATCCTTCTGGGGACACAGCACTTAAGTGAAGGAGCCACGATTTGGGTTCTTGTCCGTGTCCATCTCCTCCTGCATTACCATTACCCCCACTCCACCTCACACATGACTCTAATGATAATGCTAAACTTAATGAGGGAGTGGGATGGGGAGACCTGTCTCGGCTGTGACCTGGCTAGCTTTGTGGTGTCTGAATGCATGTATGTGGAAGATGCCTGTTGAGGTTCTTTTTGTCTGAGTTGTGGAATAGAGTTTTCTCTTCATTCAGCTACTGAACTTGGCTTTGTTAATGCTATCTCTCACCTAGAGTAACTGAAGTAATTCTAATATGGCTGTGTAGATGACACAATGACCGTCTACCTAAAACGCTGCTTCCTTTGGGAAAGCACAAATGGTACCCCTGAGGCTTCTGCAGAGGAAGACTGAACACGGAGCTCCGGGTAGAGTGAGAGGGAAGAGTTGGAACGGAAAGAAAATTTAGAAAAGTAGACTGTGTATGTCTATGAGAATGATAGAGCGTGGAGGAAAGAATTCCTAAGAGAACAGAAACAGAGAAAGGCCAGGCCAAGGAGGATTAGGAGAAAAAGCATGAGAAAAATAGAAGATAGGAGTGAAGGTCATGTGAGGGTAATGGGCATCTGTGAGTAAGCCATGGAGATTCCTTTAGGCATTTGAGTTGTCTTAAGTTAGCTTGTTAAATAAAAAGCATTTAGTGCACAGTTGTTACTGTTTACTTTAGGAACGTGTTACGAATATTATCACAATGATTTCCTCCTAGTATGTGTATACATCACAGGCTATTTCTCATGCAAGCTCTCAACAACAACAACAAAAAGTGAGGAAATGTCTTATTACAGAATTGTCTAATAAAATCATGTACTCCCAGGACATTTGGTTTGATTCTCCTATCACAGCATTGGTTTGATTCTCCTATCACAAATGAGAAAACTGTGGCTTGACAAGGTTAACTGAGTTACCTAAAAACACACTATGGTTAGTATCAGACAAGAATAGAGCCTGTCCCCCCACTTCTAGTGCTCGTTTCTAATTATACTATTTGTAGAATTCCTTACATTAGAGGGTTTCCCCCTGGATTAAAATGCAATACAGGTCATTCTAATCCTACACATGAACAAACTGTGCCAGCTGTTTGAAAGTTCCATCTAAGTACCTTTATGTATTTCATAATACCACATTGCATTAAACATGTTAAAGCAATTACGAATGGGTCTTCTGCTTTTCTAAATTGTTAGGCTCTTTGAAAAGCATGGTTACAGCTAAAAATCATAAAATTGGACGTGATATTTTTCTTTCTCACTGCCCGACTGTCTACCTATAATTTCACAATTACTTCTCTGGACATGAGGTCTCTGACAGGCAGTAAAGGAAAGTGGAAACATTGGAAGGAGTGAGGATACAATTTACAACATCAGTAACAAAATAACTGAATTTTCTTTTACAGTTTAATGTAATTTTTTCATATACATTGATTCATTTGATCCTTTAAAGACAACTGAGGAGTAGATATTAACTCTGTTTTACAAATTAAGTAACTGAGACTCATGAAGGTCCAAGAACTTGCCTAAAACCCAAGCAGTGCTCTTCTCCCCTGTGGGCCACAAGGAGAAAAATGTTTGTATTTAAACTGTGAAATGTCTAATTATGAATCTCTCAGCTTTCTTTGGTTTCTTCTAGAATTAATTAGCTGAGACATGTACTTCCAGATTACTATGGAATGGAGTCATTTCCTCACAGTGGAGTGGATTTTGGAATGTGAAAGCCAAGGACAGAAATGCTCATTTTGACACAATTAATGTTGAGTTGTTTTTCCTGTCAGTAATTAGGCACTGAATCAATTGCCTCTTAGGTCCATCACTGTTTGGTTGTTTTTAATCACAAAACATTTACGTTAATCAACATAAAGGAGGATAACTGCTTTCTTATTTGCTATCATAAGATGGCGACCATTGAGGTATAAATTAAAGAGAAGGGGAAATACAGGTATTTAAAATCAATGTGTGTTCAGGAAAAGGAAAACAAGGTATCAGTACATTTAGTGGACTGTTGTTGGGGAGTGAGAATCATGGAAATATGTGTGGATATGTTGTCTACGACTTAATGTCCTCACCAAAGCCTGTGCTGTAGGATTGCCTTAGCGGTTAAATCGCCATTTAATAAAGTTCTAATCATGCTTCAGAAACTGGGCCTTCATGGAGAGTCTAAAAGAGAAGAATCTTATATTAAATACACTCCAAAAAGGGGTGCCAAAGTAAAATACCAGGGTGTATTCTGTTTGTACTTCCATGAAAATTCATTTAGTCATTGAATAAATATTTATTTATTTCTTATTATGTACCTTTTCGTTAAATTAGTGGAAATAATATGGAATCATTACTGGCATACTTCCTAATCTATAGTAGGATTTCAATAAAGTTTGCCTGAATGGATGGAGTAAAACAATCCTGATAGTTATAAATTTTTCCTTAACTTTTCTTAGCCAGTGGAGACATTTTTATCTATAAAATAAGTGGCGATGAAGGTTAAATCAATTTCCGAGGTCTGTGAGCCTCATTTCTTAATAATACTTATGCTCATTTTATGATCTAGAGCATACCTATGGATTAGTTGAGATTTGAGACATCATTCAAATGATTTTGAGATGCCTCTTCAAAGAGAGGCATCATTTAAACAAAGGACTTATAGTTTTAATTTTCACAGAAAATTATCTTAGTTACATAACGTATACACGCCAGCAAAGACAATTTTTTTGTGGCTATGTGGAACAAACGATAACATTTTTTTAGTAATAAAATGTGCTTCTTTGTCAGATATCGTTGTATCCCATATTATATTGTATTTGTTTTATATATTTGTTCATGACTTTTTGATGCATCTCACAATGAAACATAGTATAATTATACTTAAGTTAATCACAGTTTTAACATGTTGGAAAATAAAAGTTCTTAATGTCCCACATTAAGCCTCTCTTCAATATCTCTTATATTCATCAATCCCTTTCACAGATACATTCAAGTAAATAAGGTCTTAAGCAGCCTTGGAAAACCATTAATCTTGAAGGTGGGCTCATAATGTACATTTAAGTATGATCTAAGTATGTAGGAGACAAGCTTGGAAAAAGAGAGTGATTCATGATACATTGTTAAATTCTCATCTCTCAAAACAGATTAGAAATCCTTCTCTGGATAATTTATGGATCAAATGAAATATATCAGGCACATAGTACACACTCAATAAATGTTTGTTAGATAAATTAATTATTACATAAGAGAAAATATAAACTTTTACAGTGCTTAAATAAAATGGTTTAAGGATAAACTTGATACCTGAATTTAGTAAACAACTCAAAAAAAGTAATTTAAAAATATTGATGTCTTTAATTCACTAATTTATGTGCATATAAAATTATCACATTAGATCTCAAAATCATAAATTTGTTTCTCTTATTCCATATCTCAAATACAGAATTTTTGGTTAATTTCATTTCTCTGACATTATTACAATGACAATATTTTTTTTCCTTAACTCCTATTTTGTTTGGTATTAAGAAATATATGTTGGACCCCAAAGGTACTATGTATTCTTTTATAAGACTGTTCAGGTCAAAATATATTTGCTTTTTCTATATAAATAAAGTAATCCCACTAATAGTGAAAATAGTGAAAGTTGTCGGGTGACATTCACAGTATATAAAGAAAATGTACATTATATTATTTTCTGCTATTTCTCAATGTCTTTGGGAAGGTAAGGTCAGTGTTAAAAATTTTTAGCAAGAGGTAGTAGGTATAATGACTACAAACGTGAAAACAGGTGCTAGATTTCTTGAGTTTATAATCTAGCTAATAAACTGTATGATCTTTCACAAACCATGTAATTTTTCCATGTTCCAGTTGCTTCTTCTGTAAGATGGGGATAATAATAGTACCTTTATCAAAGGGGTATTGTGGAGATTGGATGAGTTCAGAAATGTAAAAGTATGAACTTTAAATGGTACCTGGCAAATATTAGTAGAATTAAATTGTGATTCATACCCATGTTTTTAAAAGACAGGTATATGTTCTAAGGGTAAAGAAATTACAGCTGTAAGGAAAGATTTCAAAGCAATTACTTTTAAGAATTGAAATATAAGTCCCCAACCTCAGGTCTTAGTCTCTAGGTGTAAAGAACAAAATGCTTTCCAAGGCAATACATATAGTACTTGTGTCTAATTACACAAATCAGGACCTGAGGTTAAAGCTGGTGACGGCAGAGCTTACTACTCCAAGCCTAATGCTAGATCAATATTTGGGTAATAAAACAGCCACATACCACTATTTTAAACTTTACTGTTAGATCAT